GCTTGTGATGTTACTCTGATGCTGAGCACATCGAGTGACATCGTTTGCGCACATTACAAACAAAACCAATGAATTTGCAGCTGCTTGTAGTTGCCCAATCATATATTGTCCTTGTTTATGGCTGTAGCGGTAATACTTAAAGCCCCCGCCCCTTAAATTGTCTATTTTGTATGCTTCGACATTTCCCGCCATTTCCTTTCCTTATAGCTTCCGTGTTTTTCGATAAAATTTTGATGTTAAGTTTTGTCTATGCATTTCAGGTGATAGTATTGTTTTTTATAGTTATTTTGTCATCTATTTCATCGATTTCAATAACATTAGGATTGCTTTACATGCATTTTATACATTTCGGAAAACCATTGTTTATACAGTTTGAAAACATCAGCTTAAGTTCTGGACTTTTAAGTCTTGTTTCGTGCTCTTAATTATACTTATCAAAACTTCGCTTGTACTTCCCTCAATATCATGACTGTTTTTTTGGCCTGTTTTAAAATAGTTTCAAAGCTCACGAGATATGTATTTTTAAAACTCCCCCCCCCCCCCCCCCCCCGCTGGGTTGTTTGCGAAAAGTAAACAATAAAGCAGCAAGCGAATATTGAAAGAAATAATTCAAACGCTTTACAAATCATTCAAATGCTTTACATCATCGAGAAAAAAATAACATAATTGTCATGTTCAATACAAGAATACATACATATTAGTCTTGTATGCATCAAATAACAGCATTATAAGCAATTATATATTAAATTTTATTAATTCATGTCTCCCTAACATGTTGATCACCAGTATTGATAGGAAGGAAACTCGTTGATGAAGACACGAATTTTTCCATCTTCAGGACCTTTAACCCACATGAACAATTTTTTACAGCAAGTGACAGCCTGTCCCATTGCGCCATGCTGCCAGACAAGATCGTAAATCTGATCAGCACCAATCAGACTCCCATCTATCTTCAGACTGCGATCGTATAGTCGAACCACAGAAGTGTCGAAATCTTTTCCTTTCAGCACCGGAACAGCGCTCATCTTAACAATAAACCAAGTCGTCGTATTTGGTGGTGGACAGTATTTTGGACCGACCGGTTGAAGGCCTGCTCCTCGCATTGCTTTATAATTGGTATATTTAAAGTCATTGGGAGATAGATATACTCTCATCCTTGATTCTTGAACATAGTTTAAGACAATACTTCCATTAGATAAGAGACAATAACATAGCTTCTTGTGGTTGTTCCAATCACTTTTCTGGCATTGCTTTCCACAATATTGAGCTGTAAAGCAATAGGTGCATTTCTTCAAATTCGTTTCCGGCTTTTTGCAGTAGTAGCATAACTTGGCTTCACTTTGTGCCGTTGGTTGATTCCTCACTTCTTTGTTATCTTGTAACTTATTTTCCCTGCATTTAGTCGGTAATAATCCTTCTTTGTTAATTCTAGATCCGGAATTCAACGAAATGTGACTGTGTTCAATAACAGACCCTTCGACAGGTATGAGATAGTTGCAAATCTCCTTGTGATTCCTCCAATCACTTTTCTGGCATTGTTTTCCACAGTACTGAGCCGTAAAGCAATTGCCGCATTTTCTTAAAGTCGCGTTCGGCTTTTTGCAGCAGTAGCACACCTTGACCTCACCTTCTGCTTTTGGTTGATTGATCACCTCTTTGTTATCTTGTAACTTATTTTTTCTGTCTTTAGCTGAATATTCCAGGTTGTGAATTCCAGGCCCGGAATTAAAAGAAATATCATTGTATTCTATAACGGACTTTTCGACCGAGGATCTCATGAAACCAATGCCACCGCACTGGTTATGCTTGATTTTATTTTTCTTCACGACAGCCTGACTGAGATCATCGATTAATATGCCCCACTTAGTGTTTCTTAGAATCTCGTTCTCCAATATAGATACGTTAGAATTTTCAACAACTATTATCCCACATCTGTCATTATCATAAATACGGTTCCCTTTTAATAGAACATCAGATGCACAATTAGTGACAATAATACCATTCTTCATGTTGTCATAAAGCTCACAATCTTCCACAACACATTCCTTTGCATGTTCACCAATACGCAATCCTTGCTTATTGCCGTACAGTTTGCTTTTTCTTACAACTAAACGTCCACCTCTTCGCACTTCTAAAGGCACTGCGTCGTCATAAAACTCTGAATTTGTAATTTCAGCATCACCTTCAACCAGCAATCCACCTCTAATGCAATTATAAAACTTACAAAAATCGACTTTCAATTTCCCACAGGAGCTAAAAGAAGCGTGAGTATCGTTGGAACTCGTAAAAGAACAGTGAGTGAGTTTCACGACTGAGTCAAGTAGAAAATGACAGTTAGAAAAGCGACAGTGGAAGCGAATATTGTAAGCGGAAAAAAACAAACCGACAACTACATCATAGTTATCATCAATCGTTACCAAACATTCACCATCACTACCTACAAGAATACAGTTTCCAATAGGAAGTTCATCTTTCCTATTAAAAAGGACGGGGTCAATAGTATGTGGGGAAACAAAGTAATCGCCGTTTTCTAAAATGATAACAGGTAAATCCTTTGAATTCCCGGATAGATTCTGCCAGATAAAGGAATTTCTCACATTCCACAAGGCTGCTGACAAATCTGAGGTGTTGCGACACACAAACAGACGCTTCTCCATTGAAGATCCGAATTTTCTCCTAAAAGGTTCAAAATCACGAAAAACATTCCTCTTGTAGTAAAATGCTATCGAAGCTGCAACACACGCATCCGGCATATTCTTCATCTCAACAAGGGCCAACGCCTTCCTGGCATAACCTCTCCAACATTTTGGTCGTTGTAATATGTAATCTTCTGCATCTTGCAAGGCTTCATCGTATTTCCCAAGCTTAAGATATACCGATGCTCGATTGCTTAACAACCTAACCTCAAAGAAAGTTGTATTCTTCGATGTGTCAATGGCGTCAGAATAAATTTTCAGTGCATCGTTGTAAAAACACTTTTTAAACAAATCATTTCCTCTTAATCGCATTTCGTCGATCTGCTCAGGGGTAACTGGATGGATTGGCATCTCCACACCATCTCTGCATTCAGCTTTCTTGCTAGTTGCTGGTGCGTTGCACGAATACTGGATATGCCGGCGAACTAACTCAGGTAGAGGTATGATGTGAGGGAAAAGGGAGCTCGCAGGAAGTTGTCGATTGCTTAAATTTAAGATGTCATTGGCAAAATTGGCTACTTCCTTTGCTTCATCGTGCTTTGAGTTAGCACTCAAATGGATAGCACATTCACACACTATTCTAGCCGTTTCAGGTTGAAATATCTTCGCGATATCGACGTTAGACTGTTTGATCATTCTCTTCAAATGTCTTACAAGATCGTAACTATGTAAACATAGTTTATGCCACTTGTAAAAACGCGACTGATTCCCAAAAATAATAGACGCTCGTCCTTCCCTTTCACTTGAAAGAAGTTCATCAGGAGAAGGACATTTTCGGAAAGCATAATGTAGCATACAAATGGCATCATTTATAGATCGGAGTTCCTCTTCTTGATTTAGATTGTCCTGTATGACCTCCTGTACTAAGTGGTGGACGCTAAGGTTGGAAGAAAGAGTTTCCTTAAAAAGTGAAAAATCAGTTAACAGTTTCAAGACTTGTTGACGCCCCAAAGTTGTCTTCACACATTCACTAAACTCTCCATCTTCGACGGGTGGTTCGCCAACGTTTATAATGTTCTTTTGAATCTCATTTGGATTTAAAAATGCTGACGCGTAGAGAAACCTAATTGCTGCCTTTCCATCATCAACAGTCTGTTTGATGTGCTCGAAATTAAGATGCCACGTTGTACGAACAGCTAATCTCTCAGGCGAATCATAAACTGAAACAGGCGTTGCCTTTTGTCGGTTAAGAAGACGAAGGCGCTGCGAATCATAAAGCTCCAGATATTGGGATATTGTACAAGGTAGCGATTTGATATAAGCCCCGGCTTGTTCAAGAGCTAAAGGTAGTCCACCAAGCTGTTGAACTAATTTCTCAGCAACTATATGTACTTCTTCGTGATGAACAATTGCAACTCTGCGGAAAAGAAATTTCTTCCCTTCTTCAATTTCAAAACATTTCAGACGCTGGCAACGTGTTTCGTCGTAATCTCGGATATCGTTGGCTAAAGCAGTGGGCTTTCTTCTCGTGTAATTAAAAGGTGACCGGACGCACCGTGCTGCCAAGGTCCAGATACCAGCTTAACAATATTGGCTGAAAGACTCAACTGATCCATGTTATCAAGAACGATCAACCACGGGTTTTTAGTTCGAGATATCATTGCCAATGTGGCCGAAAAGGTATGTTCGAACGAATCCCTTTGTATCCTGAGGCGCGAAGAAACATCGTAGACGCTATTTTCAAACGTATTGTCGTCTTCACCAGAAAACCAATAAACACCACCTGTGTAGTAATCCTTCCTCTGCTGTGCAAACTCGGTAGCCAAACTTGTTTTTCCCACTCCACCCAAAGCGCACACAGCTGCGATGTTTACTTTAGGTTGACTGGCATCATCTAACCGCAAAAGACTTGCTAAGTCCTCCAGTTCAGATACACGACCACCAAACCATGGATTTTTCCTTGGAGCGTGAAAGACATATGGGATTTCATCATCAGAAATGGCAATTTTATCAACCTCAATTTTGATTTTTTCAACATCTTGAACAGTACTGACATGTTCTAGTTTAAGTCGATCAACAGTTTCTTCAGTGAGTGTTTGTCTATGTCTTAAGTCACAGATCTCCATACGCAAAGAAGTTTGAAAAGCCTGTAAACTGCGTAACAGCCTTTCCTGAAGAAAAAAAAGTAACATGGTGTAGTATACCGAGGTGACAGTTATAAATTTAAATGGATAAGTAACCCAAGAACTAGACTTGCTCCAAGTCTCTCTTTCATTGTTGTATAGTATCGATCCACTATAGTGTACATTACATGACGTAGCACAGAGAGGTGGAGCGAGAAAGAGACTTGTCAACTTCGGAAAATCTCGGTTCAAAACTGAACCGAAAATGCAAGACTTGCTTTAATTGTTTTCCTTCAGTGTTTATATGTATTGATCTAGCACAGTATAAATAACACGAGTTCCATAATAGTAAATAATACAGATAGAAATTGAAGGAAAACAATTTTAAAAAGCAAGTCTTGCATTTTCGGTTCAGTTTTGAACCGAGATTTTCCGAAGTTGACAAGTCTCTCTTTCTCGCTCCGCCCCTTCGTACTACGTCATGTAATGTACACTATGGTAAATCGATACTATATGACAATGAAAGAGAGACTTGGAGCCAGTCTACCCAAGAACAGAACTTGTACTGTAACGCTTTTTACATCTTACATAGCAATAATTTTGGTCATAACAATCAATGTTGCAGAGCACAGTCGTTCATGATATTTGCACCAAAAAGTACATCGTGTAACAGCACCTTCAGCAACGTGACCGGTTTGTCTCCAATGTCAATAAGCAAGCTACGTTTTTGTCAACAAGGACGTCACTCGAAAATTGGTACAACTAATTTTGGCATTTTGCCTCATAGCGCTCGTGTAAGAAAGCAACAAACTTTAAAAATCTTTTGTTTTGTCATATATGATGAGATTATCACAAACTAACACAAAGACAGTTTTTAATCCAGCCCGCCGGGCAATCTGACGTTCGTATTGACAAAAACGTCGCTAGCTTAAGCTCCTTACTGTCGTCGTTGACGTCAACGTTGTTGTAGATGTTTACCGTAGCTGTTTGTTGTCGTTATTCTTTGCCGTAGTGGTTTATCGTTGCTACTGTTGCCGTTGTCTCTGTCTGTCTGTCTGTCTGTCTGTCTGTCTGTCTGTCTGTCTGTCTGTCTGTCTGTCTGTCTGTCTGTCTGTCTGTCTGTTTCTGTCTGTCTGTCTGTCTGTCTGTCTGTCTGTCTGTCTGTCTGTCTGTCTGTCTGTCTGTCTGTCTGTCTGTCTGTCTGTCTGTCCGTCTGTCTGTCTGTGAATGTTTAAGTTGTTTTTTCCTTTTTCATTTTCGTTGAGGTTTTGTCCTGTTGTGCACAGATTGCGATGATTTGTACCTTATCCGCCCTTGAATCTTCATTAAACAGCGTGACAGACTCCTGAAGATTTCCAACTTCAGTTCGGATAAGATCGAGAAGCTCACAATCTACTGAGTTGCCAAAGCATAGCTTTATGCCTGTGAATTAAAATTAAAGATGCAAAAATACTGCTTTTTCCTTATCAATCGATATAATAGAACGGGAATAAAACATACTCTAATATACAGATTCAAGGGCCACATCAATTTTGAAGTGGTGCAGGGTTCTACAGTGTTTGTTAGTATTTTTTTCAAAATTTCGAAGGACAATCCGGGGACTAACTATGTTAAAGACATAAATAAACTAGTTTGTGTAAAATATTCTTTTCTTCGTTCATGTGATATTTCGGAACTGAGTCTAGTTCCTTCGATATCAATGTAATCTAGTAATCATGATATTTTCTGTGTTGGTGTAGTGTACTCAGGTGAATAAGATGCTTGTGATGTTACTCTGAGTGTATATCCACACCGGGCAGGCTTGAAAAATATGCCTGACCACGGTGGGAATCGAACCTACGACCTTTGGAATACTAGCCCAATGCTCTGCTAACTGAGCTGCGCGGTCAGGTCGGTTCGATTCCCACCGTGGTCAGGCATATTTTTCAGGCCTGCCCGGTGTGGATATACACTTAGAGTAACATCACAAGCACTGATCTTATTCACCTGAGTACACTACACCAACACAGAAAATATCATGGTACTATATTATCCAATTTCCACTCGAGGGGTATAGAACCGGTACTAAGTGATTTATTAAACAAGTAACACAGCGATGGCGTGATGATTTCTGTTGTTTCCCTGAGAAGTCGTGCCGGGATCTCATCAGAACCAGTTGCTTTAGAGACATCTAAGGATTTGAGTACAGCTTGCACTTCGCCATCAGTTAACCTAATATCGTTCGGAGCGGTTTGATCAATGTCGCAGGTGTTACTGCTGGCGTTTCCAGAGTTGAAACTGTTGTTCGTAATGTTGATGAACACAGAAGCGAAATAACGATTAAATAAGTTTGGTATCGCCTTCGGGCTTTCAGCGACAGTCCTGGGCACTTTGAAGATGTATCGTCAGTCCCTTCGGTTCCTGTTGCCATGGAAATACGATGCGGTGCACTACGAGACTTTGATGTTAATCTCAGTAGTGACCAGAAACGCTTCGGATTTGTCTTATATTCAGATTCCACTGACCCAAGATACTGGTCGCGACTATTACGTAACATTTGTTTCATAGTCGAGGACTATCGAGAAGGCCTGCCCGTGAGAGCAAGCACATCAACAAAACCGAAGTATGAAAGTTGGACACATGTGAATAGACCAAGTCAACCGAGTGAATCAGCAACGGCGACGTCTTCAACTGGACCTATTGATTCTGCACCCTCCCGGCTGGCCCATCAACAATTGGAAGATTTAATTCAACTCCTGTAAGAAGCCAGCAGAGTGTACTAAGCCATTTTAGGACATTATTCAGTCCGTATACGCGACCAGCTTCCAATGTGTCTTTGGTGGCTGCACAAGGACATCAAGAAAACTGAAATAGTATGTGTGGCGGAGGGTTTGAATTACTAAGACGCGTTCCTGGAAACAGAAATTATCCAGCCTCCAGCTGTTGGATATTCTGTGGAACATTTGACGAAATGTGGAATTGGCCAAGCCATGCTAATTGCAAGACCAATCCAGTGGGATCTGGTGTATCTCCGGAGACTGACAGTGAGAATGGAAATACACCTGAGGTAAACAAAGTTTGTGATACAGTAAGATGAGAACAATGAGAATGCAAATGGGCGGGGTGGGGGAACCGGTCAACCTTTGTTAAAATTGTCTGATGTTCAGTTTGTATCAGTATTAACATTCAATCACTCGCTATTAATAGCAACATGTAAATAGCAAAATGTAGACAGTCAGCGATACTATTTAGTCATTTTGGAAACTATTTAGTCATTTTGGAGGATGTAGCTCTGATGGAGAAGGTGGCTTACCACGATCCATACTCCGCTAGGCTATCGCATAGATAGAGAAGCTTCCAACCATCCCGTTAATCCGGCTTGACAACTCAAAACTGATGCCGAGAATTCACCTCTCCATGGACAGAGCTATTGTCACACAAAGTGGAACCGGAATACGTAAATACTATACACGAGAAACTTACCGAAATGTACGAACAATATACAGAAATATATAAAATGCACTCCCTGACCCAAAATAACGACGGTTACATCTGTACAGCAAAATTGAGAAACTGAAAGGATAACAACTGTAAACAAGCAGTAAGTAACTACATAAGTACAAGAACAACAAGTTAAACAGTTGCAAACAAGGAGACTAACTCATCCAGAATAGCTGGAGGTATGCACGCGTGCGGGCGCGGCACGGCGGCAGGCAGTTACAACGAAAAAAAACACAAAACAAGACAAGACAAGACAAGACAAGCGTTAAGCGCAGCGAACTATACAAATAGTTAAGTTAATATAACAAGATGTCCAGTAAAAAACAAGACAGGAAAAACATACTCTAGACAAAGGTGCGTCTGACAGGTAGCAAGAACACATCACATGACACAACACCATCGAACGATACAGGCACAACAGGTGGGCAATTTGTCTGAGCATGCGCGAAGAAAATCAATATGGCGACATATATTGGGAGTGTTTCGTGAATTTATCTGGTTTTAAAGCTGATAAAACAACATTTTAATGAACGAAAACTTTGTAATATTTAGTGGAAAACATTAAGCTATGCATTCCAAAGGTTTTATATTGAAAATAAGCTATTAAAATAAGCTAATTATTAAAATAAGCTAAATATTGCTTTATTTTATTGCTTTTTACGCTTTGAAAACAGGCAAGCTCATTTTTTTGCGCAAAAATCTAATCTAATATTTTACCCATCATTTGTTTAATCTGAACAGAAATAGATAGAACACTTAGCTATATAAGCTACAAAGGTATTGTTAGCTGATCTGAAAGATTTCAGTATTCCTGGTACACATTTTAACAAAGAATGAAATGTAATTTCAAAAATTAAATATGCACATCAAAAACCATAGTTTTTATTAGAACAACACATAGTAAGTTGTTATTTTCTATTTTTACAAAAACAAGTTTGGAAACAGTGTTTAGTTCTCCAGCTTGATGTCACATTCCATTTATTTGGATATTTCAATAAAGGAATGTGAAATAATAATCAAATCTTGTGCAAAATTTGATACCAACACACATGTGAACAGATACTATCACCTAAAAATAAAAGAAAACAGAACTTAAATTTATCATCTAATGCT